CGCTGGTGGCACACCTACAAGTACCGTGATCTCCTGGGTATCGTGCCCCTGGGCTCGGATGATGCCGATGATGTCGAAGGTGATAGCGACAGTCATTTCCTAGAGGTCGCCGTCGTCGAAAGACCCATGTGGGATGTCGATTTGCCGGGTCGTTATGTCCGGGACTACGCTTAGGCGAGTCGTCATCTTCTCATATTCATTTCATTTACTTTCTTTCCTTTTTATTATTATATGTTCATTTTCTCCAATTTATATTAGATATTCTTCCTTGTCTTGGCGAGCATGATAGGTCTTTTTTTACAAATCAGAATTAGATTAAAAGTTGCTATTCTTGAAATTACTTTCGAAGTAACATGTAAATTGATTGATTGGTAAATGTCGATCATGGACAGATAGATATGTTGGTCCTCGTACTCTGCAGACCACCTAACCTATCTAGATATAAGTAACTCTGATTCCACATACGCACATCCTTCTACGGGATCTATCGCCAACGTCGACAAACACTCAATTAATTTATTAGTTAGTTAGTTGATCACATATCCCGCATACTAGTTACCTAAAACTACTTGACAATACCAATTCCATTTCAAAAGCGTTGCTTACCCATCTATTGTAAGATAGATGATACAAATAGCTATCCCCCCATGTAAAGGTATTACAGCAGAATCGAGATGACTATTTTAGACTAGGCATGGGTATGATAGATGAATGGTAGGTAATATGCGTTCGGATGTGGCATATTTTCGAATTGGGTGTATTTCTTTACTTCAACGAGGATGATTGTATTGTACTGAAAGTTGAAAACTCGATTGCATTAGGTGAGATGACTGTCAGTTGGGCCCTTTTCTCTTTCCTCCTTCGTACTTGTAGATGAGGGGAGTGGGAAAAGCTCGAAACCAGGAGAATAGTGAAGGATCAAGACAACGCCATGCATGTTTCCTGTAAATCTCTACCACAACTATCGTGAAAATCGAACCATGTTCCATGTAGCATAGCATGAGCGTAAAGAAAACCGAAGCAACCCAGAACCTGCTGATCTGCGTTCAGGAGACAGCATACATATCGTGACGCATCAAAATCTTGTCTTGTCTCAATCATTGCCCGAAGGCGACAGGAGACTCCATAGAAAGTACAGAAAGTAAACATGTAACGAAAACGCCAATGAAAGAAGAAAAGTACATTGCAAACTCCCGTGACTTTCCCTCTTTGGCTTGTGGTCGTGATTTTCAAGTCAGACTTCTTTCTTCATGCAATAAATTTGCGGCCGCTAGGTGAGACTCCATAACCGTAAGCCGGTTTCTAAACTGTCTATTGGGCGATCCGATATGGATTCGTCTCATGGCAGGCCTATCATGATGTTGATCGATTCCGGGTGGCGAGAGATATAACGGACCTGGCACATCCCGTGTCTGCTGCATCTGCAGAGTATATAGTCGTGCGAATCAGCTTCGCGGCGCTGTGAAATGAGTTTCGGAAGCTGGCACCCGAGAGATGCGTATATCGACGGCAACGGATAAGTGTAGCGCAGCATCCGTTTGCTGCTGACGGTATGCTAGCCCCACCAGTTTATTATAGGTCGCACTATCGAGTGGACGGGATGTTGGACGCTGACCAGCCATGGCAGGCTCAGGTCCAGGTCCTTGGTGGTGACATATGGGCGGACGGCGATTGCTTGGCATGTAATTATCAAGACCTCTAGTAACTTTGCGCAGAGACAGGTGCAGGCTGCATTCATTAGCATCGAACAAAGATGAATGCCAAGTTGAAGAGTAAAATCGTCATCCCAAGTACAAGCGTCTGGGCAGCGTTACACAAGGGAGTTGCGCTGTGACCTGGCAAGAGAAGATGGCTAAGCAAGGGACAACTTACAGGACTGCTGAGCATGCTGTTCCGCTTGTTCCGGCCCTTCTTAATATGGTTCTTCAGTGCGGTGGAATCCAGCGGTTTGAGCAGCTCAAAACTACACAACAATTCACCTGAAACCGACATGATGGCACCCCAGTTATCGAATTCACCACAATACTATTATGAATAGTGGTTAGCAAAATAAATCATCGGGCTGCAGATACGTCAGAACGGTGTCTGGAAGCACTTACATTAGGTGCAGAAAAGACGGTAACGAGAATTCGATCCTGGTAGAACTCATAGCCGTCCTCGACGACCATGTGCGCTCTGCAGACCAAGTCGAAATCATGCCGTTGCAAGAAGTCCATGATGACCTTCTTACCGAAGCAATAACTCACTCCGCGCTCGTTCGGCTCCCAGTCCTCTTCCATATCCGCAGGGTCGCTCCACAATAGATCATTCAGCAAACCGTAGTCGGGCACATCGGTCGGACGTGCGATTCCTCGGATGTCATCCATATGGGAGAGGCTAGGGGACAAACCACCATGGACACAGAAGATCTTGCCAGCGACGATCGCAGCGATGGGGAGGCAGTTGAACGTATCAACAAAAGTCTTCCAGATCTTGATGTTGCAACGCCGTTTACATTCATCATAGAACCCATAAACGCGGGTTACGTTGGCACACTCATGGTTGCCACGTAGAAGGAAGAAGTTCTCCGGGTATTTCAGCTTATAGCAAAGCAGGAGAAGAATCGTTTCCAGACTCTGCTTTCCACGATCCACATAATCACCCAAGAACAGATAGTTTGAAGCAGGAGGGAACCCGCACATCTCAAAGAGCCTGATAAGATCCGTATATTGACCATGAACATCTCCGACGATCTTGACAGGGGCAGACAGCTCCAGCAGAGCCGGCTGAGAGAGGAACAATTCCCGTGCCGCGGTACAGATCGCCGTGATCTCTGCATTCTTCAAGCAAACGGTTTTAGTGACCTTCGTCGAGTAACCGGCGTCGAGAAGCCGCGAAATCATGTCGTCCAAGTCAATAGACTTCAGAGCGCCCATTCCCATACCTGGCGAGCTAGCTGCCTCGAGCGGAGTGTTCATTATATAGTCCAGAATGGGGTTGAGTTGATTGTCCTTTTTGATGAGGATAGATTCACCCACGGCCTGCGAGGATGGGCCCACGGGAGCAACACCAGTGGGAGGAGCGTCCGACACAAGGTCAACCTCGCCGCTTTGTTGCATAGCACTCACATCTTGATGTCCTCGCTTCAAACTGCTCGACAAGGAAGGGGATGGGGGAGGCTCGGGGGCATCAGGGTTCGCACCCGGATCCTCGGCGGTAGGAGACTGTGTACTCAGGTTGGTAGAGCTGCGTCGACTCGCTGCCGACTTGATCGAGCCAGCATCCGACCTGTCGGTCTGGCTCTCCGTTTGTGACAGCGCGGACGTCGATGCGCGGGGACTGTCACTGCTACGGATTTTCGAGCGGATCGAGCCCCGAAGAGAACGGAGCGATTCTTTGGTATCCGACCGAGAGAAAGATGGATACGACTGCAAAGAGTCGCCCGGGCTGGAGTTGCCCTTGGAATGCGACTGACCCATTACTGCAGGGTGAAATATCTGCCAAGCTCGATCTCGGACGTATACAAGCGATATACGTTCAAAGTGTGAACACCAAGCCCTGCGGTGCGTCGGAATGCTGAGAGTCGTCTTGGCTGCTGCCTAGTCCCGAGAGGTTTGGTCCAGATATAAAGGAGACAGATCTTCCACAACGGTATGGGCAGGAAAAAGACCAGTCCTCGATCGCGAAAGTTGGCGGTGACGGAGATGCAACGAAGCAATAAACGGGTGCCAGTTAGGACGAATATCAGTACAACAAGGGAACCAGTCCCGGGGAGGCGTTGCAAAGATTAAGAAGCGATTCGACAGATCGGTGATGTCGAAGAGTTATCGGAAGGAATGGATGGACATTGAGCGGAGGGATGAGAGAGCTTCACTATGGAAAGCCGCCGACAGCTAGTAGGGTGCTCGGAAGGGGAAGCTCCGATTCGCCGAAAAGAGCTCCTAGGTACGTGCGGATTAGACGAGGCTTGAGCAGGCAGCGACAGACGGAACACAAGATCACAAATACAAAGGGAGAAAATGATAAGGGGAAAAAATAAGAAAAAAAAATATTGGAGTTAAGTTGAGGGTGGCATGTGTAGGGGAGGTCTGTGAAAGCTAGAAGCTCTGGACGGAGAATTTGGGTAGATTCGGGGCTGTGGGAGGGGGAATAATAATAGAGTGTGGAATGGATGCGTCATTATGGGGTGGGAAAGAATGGAGATGAAACCAGACCGGACAGGAAGGGAAACTCACCCTTCACCAGACTACTGGGGAGATTGAAGCACTAAAAGCTGACGAGAGACTGTGTAATGGAGGGAGAGGGGTTTGTCAAAATTGGAGAATATTTGGAAAAGTCTAGTTGATCAAGGAAAAAAGAAAGGAAGAAAGGGGAGAGTAGGGAAGGTTGTAGTAAGTAAGTTGTAGCTTTGTTGGATGTCGCCTCAATAATCCCCCAGGCTGTCGTTTTTGGTCTCGATCCTGCAGCCAAAGCGGGTGTGGCATTTCCCGGAGGATCTGTCGGCCCGGCTGAAGCTTGGGCGGCTTGGGAGGCCTGAGGATGAAATAGAGCTGCCTAGAATCTCTTGGGTCACTGAAATGAGATAATGAGATAGTTAGATCAACAGATATGGAGATAAATCGAGATTCGAATTTAAAGTGACCACTCCCTACCAGAAGTCTATTTATTTTTTCTTCTACTACCCAACTTGCCCCGTCTGTGCCCCGTTCTTCTTTAATTTATATCACCACGGACTATAGGAAGAAGGAGTAGTTGTGTGTCGACGAACAGAAAGGCTTACACGCCCCCTCCCCTCCTCCAGCCGATGACCGAGCCACATTTCAGCCCCTCGTGACTACTATACATACAGTAAAAAGTTGACACCACGCTGCAGCACAGACACGTTCTCGTCTCTCCATCACACCCGTCTCTTTTCTTGGCTTCGTTCTCTTCAGGGCATTATAGGTTCCTCGCGCTTGCAACCATGCATACAGATTTCAATCCAGCCTGGAAAACCGGACGCACCACTTACCTTCGGATGATCACCGAACTGTCAGCCTCTCAGATGCTCCGAGCACTCCCGACAATTCCATGAGGGAATTCGTCGGCCTGCTCCATCATTGGTCGGTCCGGAACACATGTAGTCATAGACTTCTGCCAGTTTAGATGAACTGCCGTCCCGCTGGTGTCGAGCCTACGACCCCTCCAACGCAGGGCCGACGACGGATCATGAGGCGTAGAATAATGTGCTATGCAAGATACCTCTTAGTCACAACGATGGCAGGACGCAACTTCAGTCAGCAGCAGGTCCAAACTCTACCCCACTGCAGGAACACCGCCATTTCCATCCCCAACCCCAGCTCAGCCTGGTCATGATCATGGCTTCTGCTGCCAAGCCCCTTCTACTGCGCCAAGCACCAACGACTTATGTCCGATCTTTTCTCCTAGCCACGTTGTGGTGGGCATGTTTTGGGTGATGTGCCTTGGCCTGCGTTGCAGTCTAGCTGATGCGGGTAAAGGTTTCCAACCATGGCATGTGTGACACTGAATGGGATTACTGCGCAGGTGAATATGCAGAGTCCGCCTTTTTGACTCGGCGCTAATAGGTGCATTTGTCCAGTCGATTTCAGTACCTCCCCGATGACCATCATTGGTCACCCTATGACCACCCGCACCCAATCCTTAATATGAGAAAGCCGGGACCGAGCGGTGTAACAGCTTTTCGTGATGTTCGTAGCGCAACTTGGTAGACGGGATTATAAAGCAACGGCGTACCGCCAGTTTCATTCTACTTCTTCAGGGACTCCCGCGCGCGAATCTGCTGCGGAGTTTCCTCCAACTCAATTTTCGTAATATGTTGGCCAGGAACGACCACAAGACCGATAAATCGACTCGTCATATCCATCTTGACGCTCTGGGCGTCGACTGCGCTACCGGCGGCTGAATCATGCGTACCCGTGGCGGCGTCTCGAACAGTAGATGGGGAAGGGAAGCGGTATTCGTAGGTGCTGGCAAGGATGATATTTCGTGCCTAATGCGGCCAAAACAAGTCAGCAGGCGCTAGTTTATTTACTTTCTCGTATTCTTGGATTTCATATCCCTCCGAGCTATCCAAACAGATAAAAAGTGTTGAAACGGAAACACATAACAGAAAGCACGTACCGCATCCGTACACTTGAAGGTACCCACGAAAATGCGCGTATCTGTCGCGTGCACTCGTAAAGTCCGACCGATCAATGAGTCCAGATATTGGACTGCTTGGTTTCCGTCCATTGTGCCCTTTCCTGTTCTTCCAATCGATTGACGTAAGGCAACCTGCCTAGCCACACCTTCACTTTTAAGCGGGGTGGGGTTTGACCACTAGAATAAAGAAATCTAGCGGTCTAGACTATTCTGCGTTGTCCCAAGGCGAGGCGGGAAAATCAATCAAGGGGCGAGATTGGGGAGTCTCTTATAGCCAGCTGAACTCAAACGCCTAGTCAGACTGGACGGATTCCGGTTGGTTGTCTGGGAGAGAAAGATGGTCACCGGGTCGCGACAAAAGATCCGCTGGAGACCTCAGGCATTCTTGTCGCATGTGACGTTCCGCAATCGGGCACGCTATAACAACGGCTCTTCATGGTGGATTTCGCTTCATCTTAAGGAAGAAGTCTTTTCATAATTTGAGGAAGAAATATATAATAGCACCAGTATAATCGTTTCGGCTTGTTTACCATAAGGGTTATGTGAATTTATTGTTTGCATCGCTCAGTATACTGTAGTATAACGATCCTCAACATATCTAAGAGACTATATACATCGTTTCGTCTGTAACTCCGCACCTCAGTTGCCAAGGTAGCTAGAATTGATTCGAGCTCAACTCGAGTATCCTGGCAGCCGTTTCGGGCAAGAGAAGCAGGTTCCAGGCTGCTTTAATTCATGTCTCCAACAAAAGAAGACATGCAGATGCATGGACAGTGCAACGAATATCAAGTGACAGTGTCGTGACGCTACCAATATGACCAGCACATTGATTCGCGCAGTTGTAATATTAAGATAATGTAAATCAAGGTATCATCGCTGAAAGAACTGATGTGGTTGGTATCGCACGCGATGGGTGTAATGCACCCCAAACATGACTGAGCGCTCGTCATGCCCAACCAAACCCTCCGAATGGTCTCCGAGGCTCTTGGACTGACTCGTTAGTTACTGAGTCCATGTCCATATCGCTGCCTGTCAGCTGCGAAGGTGGGCTACTCGTACCCCATCCCGTCGAAGTAACTGGCGAGGACAGATTGAAGGTATGCAATTGAAAGGGAGTTGTTTGCAGTGGTATAGCATTGTTCGATGGTTGATCCAGCTTGTTCATGCGGTTGTGAGCGGGCGTAGATTGGGAAGGACGGAAGAACTTGAGTAATGTCTGCTGGCGAGGGTCGACGACCTCGGACGATGGTACAGGTTCTGGCTCAGTTGCCTCGTCCTCGTCTGCGGAAGGAGTAGGAGCTTGGTGTTGTTGTTGCTGAGCCGTAAAAAGCCATCGCATTGTATTTTCTACTGTATGTGAGACAATTGCTTTCGGATAGAACGGTGCAATCTTTCAGAACATACCATAGACTACTTCGTCATCCGGGCGATCGTTTCTGAAGCGCTTGCGGGTGCGACTGTGGAGGTGCTTTGGGGAGTCATCTGCCACGAATGATCGTCCTGACATCACAGGAGCAGGATTGGGCGATGTGAGACTGGGAACCGAGGCCTTGCGCTTGAGGGACATGGTGTGAGGCAGAGAAGGTTCAGATCAGATCTCCGGTGTCGCGTGCGAATATTGAAGAGTTTATTTCTCGGTGGAACAATGCAGAGAACTCTTATGAGAGGACAATGTGAAAAATTGATCGTGCAGAAAAGTTTATTCACGAACAATGGGTAACTGTGCAGGCTGATATATAGAGTCGTTGGCTATAACAGGGCTGGGGAGTAGCCTTTTCCAGTGTGGTTGGGAGAAGGATACCGGCGCGTCGGGTCACGGGAGAAGCGTGAGCAAGACCGCGTTCCAATACACAAAATATGCGCTATTCCGATTCGGGGTAAATTGATCCGTCCATACCAGTGATGGCAGGCGATAAAAGATAAGCAGATAACAGAACCTTGGATCCCGCCATAGTACTACTGTACGAGTAGCTAATTACTAGCTACTCCGTAGTAATTTACTTACTATTCTCTCATATGAAAGACTATATGGTTCCAGACAGGCATTCCGCTTCGGGATTTAGCTGTATCGGTATATACTCCTAACTCTCAGGCACAAACGACCACGGCGCTGACAATCTACTTCAACAAGGCCGGAAACTACTCCGGTTCTGCATGACCTCATGCTGGGTATTAGCTCCTTCGTGAAGAGTGTCTATGATCGGCATGCTGCCCTCGATGCTGTTTTGCGTCTTGAGAGCTTGGACCCGGCTGCATTCTTCGTTGCGGAACCCGCAATAACGAGAGTTCCGCCTTCCCCGCTTCTGCCTTATCAAGCTGCCACCGACTGTTGTTCATCGTCATCCTCACTCTTCACTTCAACTTTGCCCCAGTCATACCTATATATACTGCATATACATACCATCGAAGCGTCTCTCTAATAACAGACCCTTCAGCTAATAGCAAGTCAAGCGGCTCAACATGGATGCTCGGGAAGATAGTCATGCTGGTTCATGGTACTCCGACGATAAATCCACCTTGTCCTATCAACTGGATCACTGGTTGCAAGAGGTACCGGATGAAATCGAGGGCATCGGCCAACTACCAGTGCCTGGTGCACGAATGATCATTGCGCCGTATGTATCGGAAAGCTAATTTGCATGTTGTATCTGACACTCTGATCTATTCTCAGACATGCAGGCTATGCATACTCCGGACGATGTGCCGCTTTCGCCTACAAGGCCCTGGACCTGTCACAGGCGTGAGTGATAGCCCTCTAGCCTCACTCGCTGTTTACTAAAGTAAATGAATGTATAGTAAACGAATCTTTGTTGTCGGACCATCGCATCACCATTACTTCACGACGCTTGCCCTTCCTGAGTTCACTTCATACCATACCCCGCTCTCTGACGACCCTCTACCGCTTGATACCGAGTTCATTGCCAAGCTACGGTCAACCAAAGCAGTGTCACGAAATGGGCTAGAATTGCAATTCACCACCATGTCCCGCTCCGTGGACGAAGCTGAGCACAGTATCGAACTGCACCTACCTTACATCCACCGTCTCCTACAACGCCAGCGGCCGAACCAGCCAACATCCCAATATCCGCCGCTGGTACCTATATTAGTGGGTGCTGTTACTGAGTCGACCGAGAAGGCTTTCGGAACCTTGCTTGCTCCGTATATCGATGATCCAGAGAATGCTTTTGTCATCAGCTCAGATTTCTGTCATTGGGGGCAGCGGTTCCGTTACACGTACTACAGCCCCCAGGCTCCTAACCCTGGGCCCAGCATCCCCGTTTCCGCTCCAGGCCTCCCTCAACCCGGGATTGATGGCGATAGTGTAACCGATCAGATGGAGATGGTGTCTACTGGTCGCTCCTTGAAATCGCGGGAACGTATTAGGAGCCGAGAACCACCAATTCACGAGAGTATCTCGGCAGTTGACATTGTGACTATGGCAGCTATTGCCACCGGAGAGTACGCACGTTTCTCAACGATACTCAAGAATACAGGGAACACTGTGTGTGGCCGTCACCCCATCGGCGTGATAATGGCTGGTATTGAAGATATTAGAAAGAATGAAGGGGAGAAGGGCAGATTTCGCTTCATCCGATATGACCGCAGTTCAAATGTGATAGAGGTCGATGATAGCTCTGTGAGCTACGTTTCTGCCTTTACCGTGCTCTAGGTTAACACATGCTCACTGCAAACTGAGAAATCAGAGGAATTGTCATCTGTATCCAATCCTTGCTCGGGACTGTGAATAGCCGCGTGCCTTCAGGCTCTCTAGTATTGTGTAGGAATCATTTTACAACTACTGTCATTCAATATGTCTTTCGGATATCTTCGCCTTCACCCTCCGCGAGAAAACGGCCTGCTTATCCCCACAGCAGCATTTCCCGACCAAGGAATGAAACCCTTGAGAGATTGAGATCACCGGTCCTGCGGCCAGGGAAGGGTAGCATAGAGGTAGTATCGCTAAGATGGCCACTCTTCACTCTTGTTGGGCCATTGGTTAATGCCCAATCAACGAGGTTGAAGCTTGAAGAGTCTACTTACTATACCCGCCATGACTGGCAAGACGACATGGTACTCCCGGAGAGGCTTCAGCAGGCGTCGACGAGGACAAACGAGCGATGGAAGATCATTGTCACATGGGCTCCCGATGGAAGCAAAGAAGGTTCGCCGTTACACGGCAATGGAGGGGGTTGGATTAAGGTAACTCGGCCACTCCGGGGCAATAACCCCAAAGAGACTGGAGAAAAAGCCTCATGCCTGCCGTTTCTTGCTCACTGCATGGTGCCGGTTTGCGGCGGGGCTACATATGGTCCGATTGTCTGGTGATGGGATCGCGTGGCTGACCTGCCTGCCCGGTTACCCCGCAGCTTTGCGCGATGGTCCGCCGGGGATGGAGGAAAAAGCAAGTCGAAACCCTTCATGCATGATGCAGTGTTCAAAAGGTTGCATTGGGCTGAAGGGGATGTTTGACATTGGTACGCTGGGGCTGGTGTTGACGGCAGCCGTTAGCCAGTGACACTCTCCAACGACACCCTTAGTCGTGCGACTGCGGAGGTTTGGCACCACCCAATCGATGAAGATGAGCTTAAATTGAAGTCCTACAGCTCGTAGATTTCCTAGCCAATCCGCAGTCAGAAGTGTTGGCTCAGCATTTTGGCTTTCTGACCCGTGCGGTCTCTCGGATACTTCCGCAGTTTGAGCCAGATTCCTCAAGGTTTTTTCCAAACATTTGCGCCTTCAGGGCTCCAATGGTGTTCCTGTCTTGTCTTGGGATTGGACCCCTACAGTGATGCTCTTCACTCTCATTCGATTCTAGTTTGATCACTTCTGGCGATCTGTTGACTCTATTGTTCCCGTGGCGTGGCCAACGTCGGGATGTGCCTTCTGTGCCCGGGTGGATAGATCCATTCCCTGTCACCGTTTCCAAAGTCTAGGTCGTAAGACAGTCGGAGAAAAATTGCAAGGACGGCGGAGATTGCCAAATGCTGTCACACACGCACACCGGGGCGCAGATGGTTGTTGGTTCAGGCCCCATGATGCTACAGGTTGAGGTGTGTCAGTATTCGCCGGCATACAAACGACTCGAGGCGACTATAAAAAGCGCCAGTGGAAGCTGTTTCACTTCTATCAACTCAAAATCAGAGACCTGAAGTTTCAATCTCACAGGTAAACCATTAATTTGAGTCTTTCCGGAGATAGTCTGCTGAAACAGAGCGTTGACTAGCATCTTTGTTGCGAGACGACAAAGAGCTGCATCTAAGAATTATATCACCTGCACTGCCCACGCTCGTTCTTTGCCTGTTTCCGTGGTCAGTCTTTCCTTGATTGCAGATCTAGAGGCGTTTGAGGCGTCTGCTTTGTCCCTTCTTTATCTCTTTTGCGTTCTGTTGGCTTAGTCTCGATCACTGGTTGATATTTCGAAGATGAAGTTTTTCAAGTTACCCGTTCTGGCCCTGGCTGGGCTTTTTACCGCGGCGAGCTGTGCTCCCACGGGCCAGAATACTACTGTTCCGGTCAATGGCACTACTGAAGCGTCGACTGATCGACTGGTCTTTTGCCATTTCATGGTAAGCATTCCATTGGATGTGATATGGCTGGGCTTCACTAACAGATTAGATCGGCATTACTAGCAACCGACAGAGCGCTGCAGACTATGATGATGATATGAAACGTGCAAAGTCCCTGGGCATCGATGCCTTTGCGTTGAATATTGGGGTTGATCCCTACACTGATACGCAGCTCAATTTTGCGTACGAATCGGCCGCACGTAATGACATGAAAGTCTTCATCTCCTTCGACTTCAACTGGTACAATACCGGACAGGCATCTACTGTTGGACAAAAGATCAGGCAGTACGGAAGCCTGCCGGCTCAACTCAAGGTCGATGGCAAGGTCTTCGCATCCTCATTTGCGGGAGATGGTCTCGACATCAACCAGATGCAGTCCGCCGCCGGTACTGAAGTTTTCTTCGCACCGAACTTCCACCCTGGCCAAGGAAATTTCGGCAATATTCAGGGAGCATTGAATTGGATGGCCTGGGATAACAATGGCGATAACAAGGCACCAAGCGCTGGTCGCAACGTGACTGTTGCTGATGGCGATAAAGCATACGTCAATGCTCTGAACGGAAAACCTTACATTGCCCGTATGTATCCCTCTGCGTTGTGGATGTGTTGCATCAGCCTTGCTAATATTATGCAGCTGCTTCTGGATGGTTCTTTACGCACTTCGGTGGTGAGGTATCCTACAGCAAGAACTGGGCATTCCCCTCGGATCTGCTGTGGTACAACCGCTGGTTCGAGATTCTGAACCTTGCACCTCGGTTTGTGGAAATTGTTACCTGGAATGATTACGGCGAGTCGCACTACATCGCTCCGCTGGCCTCTCCACACACCGATGATGGCGCATCCAAATGGGTCATGGACATGTAAGTCACCTGCCGTCTTCACAGCCAGCAAGACAATACTGACCAGCGATTCAGGCCCCACGACGGTTGGCTCCAGATGTCGAAGCCCTTCATCGCTGCATACAAGAACGGCGAAAAGTCACCCGACAAGTACATCACCGAAGAGAAGTTGATCTACTGGTACCGGCCTACTCCAAGGAACATCAACTGCGACAGCACCGATACTACCATGGACGGCAGTCCCAACAACTCCTCCGGTAACTTCTTCCGCGGACGCCCCAATGGGTGGGAATCCCTGCAGGATTCAGTCTTCGTTGTCTCCTTGCTCAAGTCTCCCGGCACGATCCAGGTGGCCTCAGGACAGAACAGCCAGAAGTTTGATGCACCAGCCGGCGCCAGCGCCTTCACTGTGCCCATGGGCGTGGGACAGCAGAAGTTTGCTCTCGTCCGCGACGGCAAGACAGTGCACAGCGACACCAGCCTGAAGGACATCGTCAACACGTGCATCTGCGGGATCTACAACTTCAATGCGTACGTCGGCACGGTGCCGGCTCCGCCCACCATTGACAAGCTGGGCCCAGCTGGTCTGTCGGCCCTTCAGCAGGGCTTGCGCATGGCGTGTCCGACCAACACCCTGGGCCTGGGGTCAGTTGCGTCGGCTACGCCTATCCCGACGCCATCCCCTGCATGAGCCATTACTTGGAGGAAAGTTAAGCTAAGACCATGTATCTTAACGTAAACGTATGGCCTGTACTTGATCTCCGTTGTCACACACTCATTCATTCAATGGAGAGAGAGACTCGCTCAACCTGGAAGAATCCACCCATTCATTCAATCAATGCATTACTCCCTCCACCAATCTCCATACTCTATGAACCAACTCCCAAGTTCACCAGTAAACAAGTAACCCACCCCCATAAACCTAAGCAACACCTCCCAAACCACCTCCTCCTCAACCACTCCCCCCTAACCACCCCCGAAATCTCCGCCCCAGGACACAACAAATCAAACCCATGAAACGCCGGCGGCCAAACATGCACCTCACACTACACCCCATCCTCCAACAACCTCCTCGCAAACTCCACCCCCTCATCCCTCAACGTATCCGTACTCCCCACATCCAAATAAACCCCCTTAGGCATCCCCTCCTTGACCCCCAGCCACTCCGCCCTCCCAGGAGCCGAATACTCACTCACCACCCCCTTCACTCGACTCCCACTCCTCTCCTCCCCAAGTAACGCCCTCCACGCCCTCTCATTATCATTCCGATCCCAGACCCCTATCCCCTCGAGCTCCGTCGCTGACGCCGAGTCATTCCGAACATCCAGCATCGGATTGAATAGCATGGGCCCTGGGTTCCTGTCCCGGAGAAGCAGGGCTACTTAGTCCCGCTGCGAGACATCCGCCTGCGAAGACCCCCGTGACGGTTATTCTGTCCCGGTCGATACCGAGGGTGGGGGCGTGCGTATAGAGCCAGAGAAGCCCGGCGTGGGTGTCTTCTACTGGAGCTGGGTCGGGGTGGGTGGGTGCGAGGCGGTATTCGATGGAGGCGAGGATTGCGGGTGGGTGGGATGGGTTGGTGAGGAAGGGGAGTGGGAAGGTTTGTAGGTTTGTGAAGCGGTTGCCGGTCATGAGGCCGCCGCTGTGGATTTGGTAGATTGTTGGGAGGGAAGTAATAGGGGGCAATGGGTAGTGGGTTGGGTTGCGTCGGAAGATGGAGATGGTTAGGGTTGTGGATGGGGGGGAGGGCGGGCCGGGGATGGTGTGTTCTTTGTGGGTTAGGGTTGGTGGGAGGATGTCGGTGATGGTGAGGATGGTGGTGGAGGCTTGGGTGAGGATGGCAGGTAGGTGGGGGATGGTGAGGGATAGTTCGGGGGCGAGGGGGGTTGGTGATGGTGATGGTGATACTACTCATGCAGTAGTTGGGTATATGGATCTACTACTAGAAAAATGATATGGTCGACGTGAGGAGATATATCACTTTAAGAACCACCTGGACTAAGGCATACTCAAATTTTTTTGTCTGTATATACTACTTGGCTATCTTTGCGACTTGGTCGTGCCTCTACTACTCCCTCGCTCCTACAACTCACGAGCTAACCCTCTTTGCAACCTTTGTACAACCATTGCTGATTACAGTGCTTGTATTTTAGAATTTCTAATTGCCTCTTATGCTACACTGCATTGTGGCCACATTGGAGATACAGAGTATTGCCCGTTATGGCCGGTTGCTGCATCCCTAGCAGAGTATAACCACGTATAATTATTTTCTGCTAGCCGGCTAGTATTGCTAGCTTAGAAGAGAATATAGAGTTATCACACAAAGCTGCGTACTAGCCAATTGTGCAGCTGAATAGAAGAGGCATGAAAGAGCCAGCATAAGTCATGTGCACTCATGCTAGGCCTTGCCCGTCTGAGATTACTAGTGCTGCACGAGCAATTCTTCATCATCTACCATGATCTCTCTTCATCTATCATCTTGAATCTTCTTAGTTGATTGACTGGTCTTCATATGTGTTCATGATTTGTCTCTACAGTGTCAAGCTATTCCTCTCCGTAATGGAACTGGCGGCTCGCTCAACGGAGAAAGCGATTACTGAAACCTCTCGAGAGACACATCATGACTTCTGCTGTGGCTAAAAAGACGAATGGTTTCATGGTCTCGGCTAATTTGGTGATGATGAAATCAATATTCCATCACGACCAAGCTCCTGTTCTTCGCCCTTGGCCTCGACCTCGCTTCTTCCTCGTCGGACTGCTTGGTTCCTGCGTCGAGGGGTGCTTTCATATCTTGTTTGACTATATAAAAACCCATCCGATGTATATGAAATCATTACTGACAGATACAGCTCCCTACCTGTCTCCATCTATCAAAAGAGCAAGTGCCATCGAACCGATATCATGAACCTTCCAATGACTTGGTTTTATTGTCGCTTCCGTCTCAGTTGGTATATTGACGTCCGTGACCGGCTACTACGTCCTGTTAAACTATCTGGCGGTTGTCTTCAATTTCATTGATACCCGGCTACTGAGTATTGAGGCCGACTCTGGACACCCCAAGTGGACTATCGACTCGGTCTGCAAGACAGGCAGTGCTCCCCTGGCAGTATTGCTTTGGCCGCCTCGATCATCATGTTCTCAAGAATTTTGTAGAGGCAACGGTGGCCTCCGTAGCGACAAATTATTACGGACCAGCTAGTCCGGAACATCGCGAGCGGAGTACCTTCTATTGACCCAGGGACGGTGGTCAACGCTGGTGCCACGGATCTCGTAAGTCATGTGCCGGTGGAACTGTACCATTCGGTCATTGTCGCGTATAACAGAGTCGTAACACATTCATTTTGTGTTGGGGTTGCAATGGCGTGCTGCAGTGTGTTAGGGGCGGTTCTTTTGGAGTGGGTGCATATTAAGGGGGAGAGATGACGGACGGGGCTACGGCAGGATGTAGCATATCTCCAGGTGAATATATTAAGAGATAGATCGACCAGAGTATATTAGTATAGAAGGATAAATGTTTAATCATTCAATGCGGGGAAACATATCCATGGTACAATAGTAAAGTTCCAGACCGGGAGAGATACTTGTATACGGGGGTGGACCTCGGGCCAGCGCAGCCCGACCAGTCCCTAAACGTCGGAAGGAAAGAGCGCCCTGCGTTGGACAGAGAGATAGTGGCTGCCTGATGACCTGGCGGGCTGTCATACTATTTGCAAGTAACTCCGCCTGATCTTGTGCCAGCGGAAACAGTTTCTCAGACTCCGACTGTCTCCGGCACAGCTTATCGGAGAGACTCGAGGGACTTATCGTGGTTTATCTCCCGCCGGCGCATTTAAACCACCACCAACCCCTGACCAAATAGTCCGCTGCATCTCACCGACTTTCTCGGATCTACTTTGCTTATGACCTGTTCTGACCGGCACAATGATCTTCTCCGGTGAGGCTGTCTTTTGTTGATATCTACCACCCCAACAGTACCTCTATTCCTCGCCATGGATCTGTTCGGTTAAGCCTGGCGCTTACTGTCGGTTTCCCCTCTCCATCGCCTACTGTTGTCCTTCACCCCGGATCTCGCGTGATCGATTTCCATTTCCTACCTCACGTTGATCTGTGTCTCTCAGATCATTGCGCATACTTGTGACCCATCTCGACTCTTACTTTGACACCATGGCTTGTTGACGGGTTGATCCCGCCTTGTGCTTATACTTGTGCTTCATTGATTGTTTTCCATCTCGTCTTTTGTCCACGTGCCATATCACGACGCCCGACGCCATGGCGCGCACCAAGCAGGGTGTGTTTTCTTGGGAAGATGTGTTGGCGCATCGCTACCAGAGTGCGTATATCCCAGTTACCAGTCATTCTCCACATTCTGGTAAAACACTAACCACCCATCGCTCACCAGACAACAAACCCTCCGGGCTCCCCAGGTCACGTCGATACAGCGCCGTTCAAAGCCAACGGATGTCCTCTAAACCCGACACCAGAACAGAATGGGCCATCCAGTCGCAAAGCGCCTTACTGGCCAGGCTATCTCCCGAGCTGCGACTCATGATCTGGGAGATGGTCCTGGGTGGCATGCGCATCCACATCGTACAGCGTCAGAACCGGCGAATGGGACATATAGTCTGTCGTCAGACCAGCGCATGCGACATTTGTCGCGGTGGACTTCCAGGCATGAAAGTGTCGGCGGGCCTGCTAGCGCTGTCGATGGCATGTAAACAGATGTAAGTTACTTTTCTAAACCTATTCCGTAGCATAATATACTAATATCATGCTCAGCTACTGCGAGTCTATCTATATGCTCTACTCGCTCAACACCTTTGAATTCAGCAATACCTGGTCGCTGACATACTTGCGACCCACCATCCCGGCCGACTTCTGGGACGCCATCCGCGAAGTCGAGCTCCGCTGGGCGTTCCCGGGCCACTGGCTCCCCTGCAAGGACCCCGTCAAGTCGGTCTACTTCTCCGCTGGCCGGCAGCAGTGGGTCGAGACATGTCTGGCTCTCACGCACATGCAGGGCTTGCAGACATTTACGCTGCAGCTGAGCGGGAGCTGGTTCTGTGAGCCGGTGGAAAAGATCCCGGTGTTCTTGGAACCGCTGCGGGAGCTGCATCTGCGACAGCGATGGAAGTTGCACCTGCCGAGGCAGCCGTACTATGTAAAGGAGATTCGGAATATTGACGGGGATTTGAGGAAACGAGGGATTGAGTGTGTGGTGAGGGTGGTTTAGCATTTCTTTATTAGCGTAATAGCGTGCAGGCGATATATTTATACCCTAATAGTTGATGAACTGTTTAATGGATGGAATTGAGTGATTTGGAATATATTAAGATGAACACCTGCTTGGCACAGTAGACCACACTATATATCGCACTCTGCTACTTCACGATATATATATATATATATATATCACACCCGGCATAAAACTACTAGTAGTGGTAATGTACAAACAGAACCCCGGCACTATCCCTAAGTAGCTACTAATCATCTACGCACCCAACCTAACTATACTTCCCAATTGCCCACTGTCATCACTACTGCCCTCTAGAAAATCTATTAGGAACGCAAACAATCAATACTCCTACAGAGTACATCCATCTCAAAACAAACAACGACCACAACACAACAAACTAACACATCAACATTCCCACCCATCACCACAGAAACCACAAGATACCCACCAATCCAGTAATCACCTAATCCAGGGGTACACAAGTCTACATTATTTGAAGAGTTAGGTAAATAATGAAAAGACATCACCCAGCCGAGGAATGTACGTATGTATGCGTGTGGCGTAAGAACAGGTTATGTCGAGTGAATATACCTATGTCGATGGAGTGTGGATTTTGTAGTCTAATTTCGTTGGCATTCTTCGGCGTTTGACGTGTCTTGGATGGGTGCTTATTTGGGATGTCTGGTTTGTGGGTGGTGGTTGATGGATTCAGGGTTTGGTTAGTGGTTGGGGTGAGGGTGGGATAGGAGTTGGGATTGGGTTGTTTTCCAGTAGAAGAGAGATGAAATCAGTAGTATTCTGGAGTGGTGAGTGATTGTAGTAGTAGGTCAATTGGTCGGGAGCAAAGGTATTTAGTGATAATTAGGGTAGATGAACGTAGTATATATATCATTGTATAAGGATACCGTTCCTATTCTCGACTGTTCTTTGCTAATTATGCCTACTAATTTGTGTTTTTGTCTAGAAAACAATTACTGGCACTAGCAATGTGTCTAACAGAGGGTGGCGTCGTGATGGGTTATATTTGGGATCTCCAGAAGCTGCTTCTACGGTCAATGGCAGGGAGCGTATAGGGTAGTGGGAGTGTATAGGGTAGGGTAGGATGTAAATACCAGCAAAGCTAGGTGCATGCATTCTTTCTTGACCTACTGGAAGAAAACAAGCTTATTACCCTCCAGCATTTGCTAGTGTGTATACGTCAATTCGGCTGTTGTGGTGGCTGGTGGCTGGGCAGAGAGGAATGTGTAGACATTCTTGACAAGGAGGCGAGTGAGTTGCGAGATGGAAGGTTGATGAGGTGCTAGTTAATCGGTTCCATGGATGAGATGTTCATCTTCATTTAATCCAAGATGGACAGAGTCAGTCCTGGAGGGATATTCTATGTTGTAAGCTGGACGGGTGGAGGTTATACAAGTATAGATGGGAGGGAAGAGAGGAGTGACATCAATTGCATGTACCTGGATTCTTTAGCGATAGACTCGCATTCTTGAGAATTGTGCCATTGACTTTTATCCCGAGCAGTCAAGAAAATTGGAGGGAAGACTGAGGCAGACAAACTAGCTAGAGATGCGGTGCTGGTATTGTCTTCCGCCAACTCAACATCTCCATTTCACGTCGACCAGACGACGCCAAAATTCCCGAGCAGTCTCCCCGGTTAATACTCCGCGGATACACCCTTCTTCTCTCAGCTGTCTACTCACTGAGAGCCAATGAACTGGGGAGCAAGCCTGGTGGAATGCCTCTTTCCCCCCAAGAATGGACAGCCGACATACCGAGCCAAACAACAAACGACCAAATCTACGAGTCAGTTCCACTGATGTACATCCAGCTTCCCAGCTTAAGCTAACAGCACCAAAGGGGGCAGTTTGTTGTTCAGTCCATCGCTATGGATCGACCGTCAATAATCATATCAGACCTGTTAAATACATATCACTTCAACATGCAGCCATATAACTCAAATTTTTCTTCTCTTCCCCAGCCCCATCTGTTCACGTCGTGCTACATGCTTGATCTTCTGTGCGACCTTGGTGATCTACAACCATGCGACAGGCCATATCCACCCGCACCTCTGGTGCAATTCGAAGGGATGTTCAAATAGCTCAAACTTCCGCCGTCCCGTATTCTTCGTACGGAGGTTCGTCATCTACCTACGACGACGGTCAGTGGCACGGAGGGTATTCGTCGGGCAATTCGTACGGTCAGCAAAGTTCATACGGTCAACAATCGGGGCAGTCAGGCGATATGTCCTCAGGAAGCGCGGGCACAGGAAGCTCGGGCTCGAGCGGTGCCTCCAATGCAGGAGCTCAAGGCGGTGCTGCCGCCCAAGCCAGTCCTGTTGCTTCGACAGAAAAATCAGCTTCATCGTGGTCTGAAGGGAGTTCCACCAACAGTGCCCAGGGCAATACCGACTCGTGGACTAGTCAATATGTTCCAAACTCGCCGTCTCCATCTGTTGTAAGCGCGACATGGGAGACTTCGGCCATTCCCACACAAACAGCCAGCTGGACGACAATGACATCGACCACTTCTAAAACCAGCAATAGCACACCCACCCGCTCGAGCACTACCGAAAAAGAAACGCCTGCCAGTACAACAACAGCGGCCTCCGCCGCAGGTACCTCGCATGGTCCTACCCCCCTGTCTACCAAGTTGGCTATCGGCCTCAGTGTCACAGTGGCGGTCGTCGCCATCCTAGGATTCTTCGTGTGGTCATTGCACCGGAAGAAGCGTGCCTTGCAAAAGGCGATAGCTGGTAACAAGGCCAGGGCCGAGAAACCAGACCCTAGCCCACCGCAACCCTCTATGATGAAGAGGTACGCCAGCAGCTTCTGCAATGGTGTATCAACCATCAAGTTCAAATCCACCAGATCGCGTCTTCGTTCTAGTTCAGTGCGTCTTCCTGGAGCTCCCAAGTCAGAGTACAAACCGATCAAAGACTTGGCACTCAAGGTGTATGCCAATGGCCGCGGAATGCTGCGTACAGCTGCCAACATTGCACGGTCTACCTGGCAGAAGTCACACGTACATGTTCCGCGCCCTGCTTCTGAGTACATGCACGATCCTGACAGTGTGATACGAGATGGCTTCCGCCAAATTCATCGGTCATACTTGTCTCTGCCTCAGGCGCGCAGCAGCAACAACAATAACAAGGATAACAAGGACATTCATCCCGCATTGCGAGGTCTACATTCCTCGACTGAGACATTAGTCGGCGCAGACATGGGCAGAATTAAGGAAGTCACCGTGTCCAACACCCCACCAAGAGAAGAGACTGGCAGGATTCCAGAGGCCAATGTCGCAACAGTAGAAACCATTTCGCGAGGAACATCGACCAACTCCAGTTCCCCGACAGTTTCTAGAAGTCCTACGATTGAGGTTCCTACTATTGAAATACCCACTTCTCCTGGAGCACCACCGATTTCATTGGCTCGTGTGTATCGCGTCGATATGGATTTCCGCCCTGTCAGCCCTGAGCACATTGGACTGAAGGAGGGTCAAACAGCTATCCTCCACCTAGTGTACGAAGACGGATGGGTAAGACACCAACCTTGTATAGCCTACTTTATAACTCTAGCTAACATACTCAGGCACTGGTCACCGTCCTCGAAACCAACAAAGAAGGCCTTGTCCCTCGGGCATGTTTCTCCGCACAACCAATACGGAACCAAGCCCAATACCTCGGAAACAACATCAGCATCTCGACAGATCACGTACCTCGCTCTCCGCGTCCTGCCACTCCCACATCACCATGTGAATCCACATCTGATGGCGACCTCGGGCGGTTCTATTCGAACTGCGTGAGTCCGGAGTTGCCGCCAATGGACGATGAGAGGCCACAGGCTCCGAAGCTGAAGTCTTTGCCGTCGCTTGCAAGTTTCCTTAAATCACCGCCCAGCTTCAAGAGCATGGTTTAGGTGATGAGCAGAATTCGCTTCTTGTGAATATTCGGTGTGACCCGTGTTAAGCGACGGGTACACTTTTATTGTATATACATGATATCATAATGTCTTGTGCGGATACCTATAAACATTTATTGAAGACATCAGAGTTATTGAATTGGGCAGACGATCTCCAAGTAGCAATCTGCCAAATGCATTGGCAGTGCCTTGTATTCAGAGACGCCTCTACTGGCAGGGGAAGTCAATCGTTACTGATTTTTCTGTGAAAGCCTATCTTCTTGTTCATCTGCCTCATCAGGCTTCTTGCTCGAACGACCACTTATTAGCACAGTGGCTCCTCGCTAGGTTGTACACTTGTAGCATTTGTTCGTTGCTTGCCATTGTCCAAGAGCAATCGCACCATGGAATGGCAAGCTCATTCGTATATATGATGGTGCCTAGTATTATCGCTTCTTGTTACATGCGCTGCGAGACGTTTGACATGAAAGAAAGCAGAAATGTCCAGAACATAGTCTTCTATATGCTTTCTTTTTCTATATATATACTATGTAAATGTGTATATATCACAGGATGATACCAAAAGGATCCTTCGTTCAGATTCAATGTCTACTACGCACTACCTAACATTGAATAAACTTTGTAGAAGTACCTTATAGTAATGTCCTTCTATCAAAGAACTATATACTAATACACAGCTTCTACTGAATCCCTTATGAACATGCCCTATAAATATTCCATAACTTAGTACACCACAACACATACCTACAGATGCAGCATAAGCATACATACACCATGTACGTATGGCAAAATAAAATACAAATACACAGCAATACCATTCCCACACAATCACACACTCACATGACACCACAACCGACGAACCACAAGCGCCCGTTCCAGTGCAGATCACCGCCGATTTCATTTCCATCTAAATATAGCTCTTTATGCTATCAGCCTTTCTTAGCTGGTGGATTGCCGTGCGGGGTTCTCTTCTTCTTTTTCTGCTTCCATCTCTTCTTTATGTTAATGACTTTATGTATTAACATGATTGTTCAATATATGTGTATACAATATATATCAAGATTAAGAATAGTTCGTTTATGAAATGTCTATATACACATATATGGCTGAAGCTTAAAGTAGATGGACAACATTCCTGTTCCTAAACCATACCTCACTACTACCCTCTATACCCACACCACAATCACACACTAACTCACTCACTCTCCATAATCCCAATCCAATTAAATTATAATTAATCAATCAACAACCCGGATTCCATCCCTGTCTCACTCTCCCTCCCAGTCTTACCTCATCCTTTGGACCATCATCCGACACCCGAACTGACACAGTCAATAAGTCACTAGTCAGGTACAGGTGTACACACACGGTCGGGTAATTCCTGTCTTCTTTACCCGTTCTGTCCTCTTATCCCAATGCATCTACTACTAGTAGTATCTTTCCATCTACAGTAGTATCTACAGTACGGTGTAGTACTTACTACACAAGGTAACCCGGCCCACTCCACTCCACTCCACCTACACAAACCGCGAACCGATTGAACGTGACCTCCAGTTTGAGAAATAATGATGCCTGTTCTGGTGATCAAATCCAACCCGTTCCTGACCTGACCTGGCCCGTTTCCACGTTCCAACCCATCCTCCCTCCATTCCATCTCTGAAACCTTAGCATCGCGTTCTCATATCATACTTACCAACTTCCATTGGTATGTTCAATTGCATAACATAATCTTGCATCAATCCATACATATCCCGGACATAGAATACTACGTATGAATTTGTTACACCGGGGAGAAAAAAAGGCCCCCAAGGATTCATTTGATCTAGCGTAACCTGTTTTGGCCTTTGGGGACGGTCGTCGGGGTCTAGGCTAGTCTAAGACGGGTTGAAATTGTGGGTTTCTTAAGTGGGGAGAGAGAGAGAGGTAACTACTAACTAGGAAAGTAAAAAGGGGAAAGGGGGTGTGGGTTTGGAGAGTTGGACCCTGAATTTTCTTTCCCACTCGGTTCGAAGTTTCTTGGCTTGGGGTATCTTCCATTGGGTAAGGGAAAGTAAATTCGGCTGGTAGGTTTGGTTTGGTGTGGTTTGGTTGGGGGAAATTAAGGGTTCTTTTTTTTTTTTTTCCTCTTCATTCTATTGTTGTTCAAGCTTTGTGTTTTTGTGGAGGATATTATGTTTCATTATCATGTTTCATTATTATTTTTTTTCATTTTCTATAATATTCCTATGTAGTATGTGCGTATGGCCTGATAATTGCATGAGGGTAGGTCAGGGTCTGTTGGAGAAGACGGATGGGGCAGGCAAGCCTGGAGGGTCCGTTCAACTTCCGGAAAGTCCGGGCGAGGCGCGAAAAAAGTCTTGATGGTCAGTCCCTATGGTGCGTTCTCTTAAGGATACAGACAAGGCGTAGGTTTACCCCATAACTACGATCTATTGATCTTGATAAGGGTCTCGACCAAGACAAAGTGGATATCATTATCATCTTGAAGATGATCGTGTCGAACTATCTGTTTATCCACAGTGCAAGGACACAAAAAGAGGGCAGAGCTAATTTAGTACGAATTGGTTGGATTGCAATACGAACGGCTTAATCTGGGCGACGCACGTATCTTCCCATCTACGCATGGTGGTAAAAAATAATATCAGTAGATGTCAATTCGGTATCTGAGATCGCCAGGAGTCAGAACAAAAATGGAAAATGAAGGTGCCGCTGCGCCTGTCAGACCCCAGCGCCGAAACAACTGTCTCATAAACGCGGCAATGACTGGCCAACGCCAGTGCTTGGCATGCGCCCTAACAAAGAACACGGGATGAAAATGAGAATGAAAAAATTGGAAATGATTATAAGGAAATTAATATGGAGAAGCTGAGGAAATGCTCAAGGCTAAAACGAATCCAAATGAAAAGCCTGTCACGATCGCGCCTCCCAACCTGCCCGTTTCCCCAAGGTATCCGATTATATAACCTGAAAATGCATCATAAATAAAGGAAAGGAAATGATCTGGTGGTGAACAAAGTGTCACAGAATAAAGGAAATCCAGAATGAATGAGTAGATAGAATAGGATGATCAAAGACCATCACTAAACAAAAAATGTTGTTGGCGAACACTAGTAGTATTCGCAGCCCGCCGACCGAGGCGGTTGCCTCGGGCGCGGCTGGGCGGGAAACGACCCGATTCTCGTCCGGACGTGAGCCCGGACGCCGGCAGAGGTGTCATTAGAATCCATACGGAGATGCTCCCTAGCAGTGGAAGATGTAGCGAGTCGTGAAACATGCGATGTCGCTGATGTGAATCCGATAACAGGCGGAGGCCAATCGTGTATCTCGTGTCATGTGTCGTCCATCGAGAAACGGTCCAGCCAGATTATGTGGTCGTGTAGGGTCGTACCTTGCGGGGAACCGAAATCCCGACCGGTCGCTGCGTACCGATCAAGAGGCACCGAGCCTTACTTGCCGCAAGGTGACAATATGGGGGGTGAGGGCTGAGACACGCGCAAAGTTACCGGCCGTTGTGCGATCCGTCGGGGCCAGAATGGCCATGGTTCCTCTGCCGAGTGTCGAGCCATTCCATGGGAACGTCCTGCCGCGAGGCGGGCGTCTTCTGATCCTCGGGGCGCCCGGTGGTGGTGTTCTGGGGGAAGAGGTTGTTCAGTTCGGCAGCAAGGGCAGACGCAGTGTAGGCGCGCAGCTCTCTCTCTTCACGTTCATCCTCCTTCATCAGGCGTCGCTGATCCGTCTTCGAGAGATTCTCCCGGCGCTTCTTCCGGATCTCGTGGATCACCCACACAAGCACCTCCTCAGGAGCACGGTTCCGGGCCTTGCCATGCCGTGTCGGGCTTCGAACATAGCGTCTAGTAACATCGGTGGCTCCATCGATCGAGAATGCAACGCAGTAGGAGATTTTCCGTCCCCAACCTATAGCTATGATTAGCGAATGTCAAATCAGACGAAGCCGGATACACATACCCTCAGTGTAGAGACGGGGCTGATCCCAGGCCTCTTCACAAGCATCTACATGCACCCAGCGGCGCTGATGCTCAGAGTAAACCTCAGTCCAGACGTGATCCTCGGCGTTCCACACCCATCGTACACGGCCACCAAGGGCTCTGCAGAACATGCTGAAGCAGTTGGCCCATTCACCGGCACGTCCCCGTCGAGTTTGCAGCAGCTGCCACACATCCGAGTAGCGGGGGAATCTCTCGTAGGAGCCACACATTCCTTCGGAGCATCGGTATAATTCGACACGAGTGGCACCACGCGCGGTCTCGTCAGGCGACGGGGGAGTCATTCCTTGGGCGATTGAGGGCGAGCCACATCGAGCACATGGGGGATTGTTGACGAATTTGAAGAAGCAGTTCTTGAACCACCTATAATGATATTCATTAGTAAAGCCCATGGGACGATTGAATAATTAGAAAAACGTACCTTAGAAGCGCCCGAATGACGCAGTCCTGGTATCCCCATTCCGGCTTTCCTCCTACACTAGCTGCCTGAGCCTGCATAATCTGACTTTCTTCCTCTGCTTCCGAGTACAACCGGTCGAGAGGGATATGGGCGAGAGCCTCATCCAGAAGGCCTGGGTTCTCATATTTGGTCGGTGTTACAGAAAGAACGTGGAGAAGGTTGCGAAATTTGAGGGAAGCCGGATCTTGTGGGGGAGCAGGAACGATAGGTAGACTGCGGAGTAGGGGTGATTGAGCAGACGTTTGCGGAGGCATTTGAGGAGGGTATTGGGCGGCGGTCGGAGGCGGTGGTGGTGGTGCTCGCGAGGGATGAGGCGGGTACAGGCCAGGGGACATAGCCGCGGGCGCTGGGGATTGTGTGCGGGAGGATGCTCGGGACTGTTCCTGAAGCTGGTTGAATCTCTTGTTGCGCATCAATTGTTCGAAAGCGTTGGTGAGTTCCGAGGCGTCGAAGTTCTCAGGCTGCAGCGCCGGGTTGTGGTGTCGACCGTCCGCCATGGTGGTAGGGGGTAGGGTCAACGACACCAGCAAGTG